TGATGAGCTTTGAGAAAAAGGCACAAGCGCCTGCGGGAATGAAATGGCTGCTAAGGGCTACCATATCCAAGTCAGCCCACGTTGCTCATGTGGCTTAAGAACAAGGAACGCCCAATTTGACTGCAACTGCGACCCTTAACTGAGAGGATGGACCGATGTGCAGGTCTTGCGCATGATGTCTCGAAGATCAGTCATTCTGAGCACAAAGTTTCTCGAGAAGTGGAAGCTTTCATTGTTCTAGACCATCCATGCCCTACTTTTCACAGTCCTCTAATTGTTTGAGTGGACGGCGTGATCCGAGTGCGCTTCGGGGAAACACCCACGCTCTTTCATTTGCCATGTCTGCTGAAGCTCCACAATGTTGTTTGTGAATCTGGTGGTTCAGATTTAGCAGAGATTCAGACTGACCGTTTTTCTGCAAGCAAACCTCTTTGCAAGCAGGCGAAGAGTGTTTTTTGCGCAAAGGCACCCGGCTAGGCTGTTGTGCATAGGGTGATGTCGTTAGAAAACGATGCATCATGGATTATAGTCATCTGGTTCAAAATTGTACTGAACGTCTTTCTGGCGCTACAACAGTTCCCTACCAATTAAACGGCCTTGAGAATGTACAGTGCAAAGTGGCTGGGAAATTGCAGCACGCAAAACTGGCTTCGATCTTTTCAATTCCGGTTTTGCGCATTTCCAAAGCAACGGACACTTTCAAACCCAAGACAATGGCCACTCAGCTTGTTCATCGAAGCTAGCTTTTCGACCTAAAGTTATCCATCCAAAGCATCCAAAGCAGAGTTTTGGATTTTTCTTCGGTTTGTTTTTGAATGACTCTCGCATTAAGCCACTGATCTCAGTATGTCTTGCTATGTCGCAGTCTCGTTTGCCTCGAGTTTCTCCACTCAAGCAAGTTGCGTGTGAGGAAAGCTTTCTGGCCTTGCCAGGTCGCAAAGTGACTGATGTGTTTCTTGGTGTGTCTCTCCAAACGCATCCTTTGCCCAGGTGCAGCTTCTTCTTGTCAGCCATCAACATAGCACAGAAGTCCATTTTCCATGTTTGCGAGCTGATTCTAGATCTCAAGCTTGCAACGTCAAGTGGCAATCGCAACTTTTGATCCTTTCTCGGTTTCCCATCAAAAAAGCATTGGCTCTCCAACATGATAGTTGTGGTCCTTTGTCAACCACTCCAAGATGCTTGGAGCAAGCCTCCAGACACACCCTTTGATTTTGCTCCCATCCCTACGGCACGACGTCCGTCCAAGCCAGGACTCTTTGCTGCGACTCTTCTACAGCCTAGGGACTCGCAAAAATAGAGTGCTTTAACCGAGAGTTAGCTAGGCAACCTGAAAACATACTTCTAGACGCTTTCAGACCAACGTTACTTAAGCTTGGGAGAGTCTTCTCCACAATGAGGCTCATCTCAGCGATCCGGCTGCCAAGAACAGCTTTTGATGTTTGCCTGGTTTTGAGATTCCTTTGTTTTTGTGTCCAAACCTATGACCAGCTACGACTCTATGAGGTGTGCGGCCATTGGCGTACACAGGGCCATGACATAGAAGGAGCGCAGTATAGCAGTATAGCAGTGCAAGCTACCTATTCTGTCACGGGCGCCCAGCGCCGTCCTCTCACTTCTAAAACGAGTGCACGTCTACTTCATTCCCCGGAAGGCGACCAGCCCGTGATGGGTGCGTCCGTCAGGTCAATCGCCAAGGCTCCACCTGCCCAAACCTACCAAGTCCTTTGTGGTTTCTTAGCGACATCGTTACTCCAATGTCTGACGGACCAGTCGTCGCCGACTTTTCTCCCACCGACCTCTCGCGTGAGCGCGAGAGCGCTCGCAGTTGGGTGGTGAAGGGAGAGTTTGGTAGGGGTGGATCCGGTTTGGCCGCGTTTCGTATCCCCGTTTCGTATCCTATCCAGTTTGGTAGGGGTGTACCCTTCAGGCGCTTCTCTTCTTCTTGAGATGGAACATCGGAGAGGTGTCTCAGTCTCAGTGATCGTTGGGTCAGGGTCGGGTCTGCGCTCACCGCTTTGGACCAGAGCATCGAGCAACCAAAGGCGCCTGAAATGAAAAAGCGCCGTATTTCATTCTCGCTTCAGGGTCCGTTCTCTCGACAGCCAGGCTGGCCTTTTTCTCCACAAGGGGTTGCCTGGCTTCGGCGGGAGCTAGAGGCCCTGTTCTTCATCCGGCAGCTTTCTTGGATTAGATTTGCAAGAATAGAAAGGGCTTGACTCAGGCCCAAATCCTGGGCCGAATCAATCGCAACACATGTTGAAAAGACCATATTACGATCTCAACACATACCACTTGAGCATCATTAAATGCAAGTGGCTGTCATTCCTTTCTGGCATTTGATTGCTCCTTGCCAAAGATGGCGACAAAGGAGCAAGCAATGAGACTTTGAGGAGAGCTTAGCGCACAAGACCAGTGTCGGCAAATTGTGTCCTTTCTAAGAACTTGCAAGCCTGCCTCAAAGCGCATCGTTATATCCTTTTTCTTTTGTTTGCGGTTCAGGACTTGTTTGAGAATTGCGAAGCACAGGCCAATGTGATGAGCTGTTGCAAATCCAGGTGTGGCTCGAGTACTGAAGAGCTTCCTCATCTGGCAGGCACTCAAGAGTCGCAGCTCATCACCGGACATCGTGGGGTTTGGCAGAGCACGTCAAAAACAAAGGGGATTGCAACCGCCCTCGCCAGGTTCAAGCTTGCGAGGGTCGTGAAAGCCGAAGATGCCAAACTGGCGAACTCGGCCAACAGCTCGATGGCTTGACACGGGACATGATGCTTCGAAGTCTCTTTTTCAGACTCTCGAAGTCGCTTCTTCACTACTCGACCGCTTGGTCGCCGCGAAGACCACCGATCGACGTGAAGACCGACTCGGAGCTTCCGTGGTGCACCGCCCGAGCTCCGCGGAGCTGAGACCGGAGGTCGTGCCGACACACGGCAGCAGGCCTTGCTGTGCCTGTTTTGGAGCGGGGACTGGCTCCAGTGCGCCGTTGGATTTCGGTGCGCTAGTTGAAAACGGAAGAAAGGCGCCGCTCAGAATTTGCGTTGGCATTTCGGTGCAGGTCAGGTGTGAAGCATGAGATTATCATCCCAACATATCCCAACGCATTCGTTCTGTGAAATAGGCACTTGACTGAAGCCAATGACACTCAGCTTTTCATATCCCCGGAGGTCTATGTCTAAGATGTCTAAAGTCAACGTGTCATTCTTTAGGTATCTTTAGGCCAACGTTCGCTCGGTGGCCAATGATCTCGATTGAATGCCTGATCCGACAAACTGAAAAACTCCAAACTCGCAGGCATTCTCTGACATGAGGGTGTTTGTTGCATCACGGCGATTAGAAGATTCCCCAGCTGCTGCCGTCCGCAGCGGCCATTGACGCTCTGACTTCGAAGAGGTCTCGGCACATCTTGGAGCTTGTGCGGATCGCAAGAAAGAGCTGACTTGGGTGCAGGGTTGATGAGTGTTTGTGAATGTTACTGTAGTCAAGTCGTTGTTTTCACCCCACGTTCCGGTTAGGATCTTGGCTGAGGGTTGGGCAGGCATTGCCCCAGCAAGAGGCTTGCTCAGCTGTGATTGCAAGGAAAACAGTTAACAGATGGACCATGGATGAATAAATTGTTTTTGGGACCATATAAATAGCAATCTTGATTCTTGATTTCTAAGTTGACTCCGGGCTGGATCCCAGACATGTAATGCTGTCCATGTCTTAATGGTGCTCCATGTCTGTGACCTCTGTGACTGCTTTGGCAGGCTCTCCGTGTTGTGCTTTTTGGCTTCGCTCAGCTGTTGATTCAGTTGGTTTTGGAGCACACCAGTCCTCGTTCAGTTCTGCTTTGAACCCGTGCCACACGCGGGTGCCACGCGGGTGCCGGTGCCGCGGTGCGGGTGCGGTGCGGTGTCGGTCGAGTTGGATGAGACGTTTGTTGGACGAGTTGGATGTGTTATGGATGTTTCTATTACTTTCTCTCTTTTCTTTTTTTTTAAGAAAGTCATTTTTGGATGTACATCCTGAATTACTTTCTCTTTTTTTTGAAGACAATCATTTTGGATGTACATCCTGATGCAGCTGCTTTGACCCTGCACGATGACATCACTGCCACATCATGAGACCTCTCGTTGGGTGATTTTGCGGAACCGCCCTATTGCAGGGGTGAGACCCCACGTGCGGCCACGTGCACGGCGGTCAGCTCGCTGTGATGACCTGGTCAGGCGCGGGGCGTCCGAGGTGTCTGAATCTTGATGTTTTTGAGTGCATCGTGCTGGTAGCAGGTGACTGGCTAGACCAAAGGCTGGAGAAGTAAAAAGAAAGTCGTGCATTGTAGCTGGTAAACGCCACTTAGACGTGTCTTCAGAGATGCATTTTTGTTCTTAGACGTGCTTGACCTGCTTGAAAACCGTGGCTTGAAAACCGTCCACTGTTGGGCACCCGTCTCTCCCATTCACTCGCTCGCTTCGTCTCCAATTTCATCGCCTGGTCTCTCATCGCATCGTCCGGGAGCGTTCGGACGCGACGCGAACGGGGCGAACGGAGCCTTCGGACGCGACTCGAACGGGGCGAACGGGCCTTACTACGAACGGAACAAGAAGCTCCGCCCGGTGGAGGACATCGCAAGTAGCTTGGAGGCCATTGCAAGTACACGGAACAAGGTTCGCTACGAGGCCTAGTAGCTCCTGGATGTGCTTCCGAGTAGCGGCGCACCGGCACTTCGACCTCCACGTGTGCGGCGACCGCCCGACCGTCCGACTGTATCTCAAACAGCGACAAAGCTGACAAAGCTGACACAGGGATTCGAAGAGCACCGGTAAACAGGAATACTGAAGACTTACTCTTTCATCCCCAAGCCACCTTACTTAGAGAATCTGCTCCGATTTTCACAGTGCAAGTGGGACTGGAAAGCCGAACATGAGACTTGGTGCTGACCGCTCCGCGGTGTTCGCTCGCGGTCCGTCGCCAGCCTTTTGGCTCTCAGCTCTCTGAGTCGATTTTCGAAGCTGCGGGGAGACATGCTGCGCTTGACAGTGCTCCAAGCCCTGATTGTGGGCTCCATCGCGCAAGAGCTTTGTCTCGATGATGGTGTGCCAGAAAGCCAGCGAGAGTACATCCAGGAACCGGGTTGGGTGAAAATGAGGCGTGGAGCTTTGACTGGTACGTAGAGCTTGCTTAGGAATTCATGACTGTTCCATGACTGTTCATGGCCATTTGGAAACCAATCAGGATGATGCCGGCAACAACATTCCTATCGGAGTCTTCGAAATGAACTATGAACCATCCCATCTTCTGAGCAACATGACAGCGCTGATGATCCGCGAGGTGCTTGGTTTCCACGCTCAGGTGGATCCTAAGATGGGCTCGGGTGGAGATACTTTCCTCTGGGCCTTGGCCGGATGCACCGACTTCAATGACGGCGCCAGCAGGACATGTGGCACCCAAGAGACGACGATCCATGTCAGCGTGGACTCCTGGCTTGGAGGTTATACCCTGACGCAGAACGAGCTCGCGGCGAAATATCCACAGCTTGCGCCGGAGGATTTGGGGAGTATGGGCTATTCGGGCCAGAATTCGATCTTCGTCAGCCAGGCCGTTCACACTGCCGCCTACAGCGATTCGGGTCTAGCCTTGGACCACTACAGGAGCTGCTCTGAGCGCATGGCAGTGGTGGGTGGGTGGGTGAGTGGGTGGCTGTGTTCTAGAAGATGGCCCAAAAAGAACGTAGTAAACCAGGGCCTCATAAGGGGTGTCCAATAATGGCCCCTTAGAAATTAAGGGATGTCCATTAACCACGCCTATCCGGGGGCCCTGGAAGATGTTTGATTCGTTGAGTTTGGGGCCCTCCAGAAGTCGCGTGAAGAATATGTCGCGTGTTGAATACGCTAGACGGAACTCATCTGCGGCCGTCCACAGACTGCATTGATTCAACATCCTCTGGTTGAACATTGCAGCGATCGGAACACTGTTGTAGCATGCTGCAGTCAGAATTGTTTGCGGGTGATTCAAAGGCTTAACCTTTTCATTGGAGCTTTTGCTGGAAGATGCATGTCTTTGCACCAATCTGCCCATGCCTGATTTGCTGCTCATGGCCCAAAACATCCCAGAACATCTTTGGGCCACCCACTGGCCGTGGGAAGTGTTGGACCAAGTGATGTCAATTCTTTAACTAGTGCGCCTTGGCCTGTCTAGCTCCAAGCTTCTTGTCTTGCCCGACAGTGTCAGACCTCCTTGCCTCCTTGCTCAGCCTTGTTTGCCGATTTGTGCAAGGTCCCATAACCATGAAGCTTCTCCATGAAGCGTCTCCAACCGCTTTTTCTGGGTCGACGTGCCATAGAAGACGCTTCGCAGGAACGGCCATCGACCTCGCTGCATCACGGACCCCCAGCGTGCTTTTGGCCAAGCAATTACTTGGCAGATGACATCGCCATCGATGTCACCACCTTCACCCCAAATCTGTCTTAGTCTTGGTCACATGAGCAAAGCCGGTGCCCAGTTGCAGCTGAAAGAAGTGAGGCTGCTTGCAAGCGCCAAACGGCCAAGCCAATCAGGGTGATGCAGCGATGTGGAAGCTCCAGCTGGGCAAAGGCACCAAGTCTTGTGAGCCAGGCTGGTTCTTTTTGCAGGCATTGGGCTCACCTATCACTGCGAAACGAGATTGCAGGACAATCTTTCCTATTTCCGAAATTCTTTCTTGGGCGTCTTCTATGGCCTTCCTACACAAGCCCAGTGTGCATTTCCAATCCTTTGAGCACCTTCAATGCAGAAGCCAGCCCTCTACCTGATTACTGTGCAGTGTGTAAGTGGATGGTGGCCATGTTAAAACAAGAAAGATCGGTAGTGCCATGAGACGTGACCACCAAGCTTCGCCTGATGGCCATACCTTTGTGAACCTGGGGTGAAACATTTTGGCACCTTTGCTCTGGTGCCAAGTGCCAGCTTCCCTCGTGCGTGTCCTTAGCTGGATCTTCTCTGAACAAGCAGAAGCCGTCGGCACCAAAGCGATCTGAGTGGCCTTGGGAACCCAGCGATTGTTGCTCAGTGGGATGCCCTGTTGCGACCAGGCTGGACCAGGCCTTCCTCGCATGCCTTCCATCTTCGGGCGCCGTGCCGTGATGCGCGGGCCGTTCTGCTCTTCGTCTTCCCTGCCCTGCCCAAAGGCGTTCCTGTTGAGTGCCTGGAGTTACTGTTGAGTGTTTGACGTGCTTGATGTGGATCTCCGCAGTTTGAACCACGACCCTGTCCTTTTTAAAAAACTGAACTGAGGCTACAACACGACGCAGCATGACCCGAAGAAACTTGCCAGTGACTTTAGTCGTAAGCGTTGCTGTGTATCCTGTTTCATGTCAGTTTGGTTTGGTCAATTGTTTTCCCTCACCGATACCATGTCAGGAAATACTTCGATTCAGTTCAAGATGTGGACTTGTCAGAGTTGGCGATGTGCAGCGGGGCAGACATGATCATGAACAACAACAATGTGATGAAAGATTATTTAAAATATTCCGGGGATGCTGAGGGGGTCGAGCTCCAGGCAGATGGGTCATACATTGCCAAGTGTTGGAACGATCGCTGGTGGTACGCCCCTGCGTGCCGTCAGGATGCTTCCACATGCATCCCAGTCTTCACTGCAGGGACTGGGTGGTTTCTGCAAGCCATCATGCAGTGGTCAACAGCATATGGAATTCCAGCTGCTATTGGAGTCTCGGGCGGGTGGCAATTGTGGCAGAAGCACGTGCGGACTTTCCGAGCTCTCCACTACGGGTGGCTTCCAGATTCGACTTTCGCCGACATGTTGCCACTACAGGTGGTTTTTCCACCTCACAACGCGCCGGAGTGGGCCGCGGGCGACCAAAAAACCGCCAGCGAGTCAGTTCACATCGCCAAGATGGTCAGCAGCAACTTGAAATCGAAGGCCGGTCGGGTTCGAGAGTTTCTTCCTAGTCGAATTTAGCAGGTTTTTCGATCGTCGCTTATTTTTGGTTGTGCAGCTTGATGTTGAAACACATTGTGTCACATTGGAACTCCTTTTTGCGTCGCAGACCGATCGCTCCGGGGAATCGGATGTTTTGATGTCTTTTTTCGACCACCACGTCCGACGTGCTTTTTCGTCACGTGCTGAACACACGCCGCGTGCGGGTGCTGTGCGGACCGTGGGACCCACTGAAACGACAGGTTGACCTCGCCCACTCGACGGGACGAGGGTGCTGTCACTTCTGGAAGCGAAAACTGGACTGGCGACTTGCAAGTTGGAGGCCATCGCTAATTACTATTAGGTTGGAGGCCATCGCTAGCAGGTTGGAGGCCATCGCTATTATGGTTCTGTTCTTCCCCTCAAACTGGTCAGCCAACTTCACGTTGGCGTTCGTCCGAGCTGTGAAGAGTTTCGTGTCCAGTGTCTACATTCTTTGGCGTAAATTTGTGGAACCTTTGCATCCCATCGGTTGCAGTTGTCTTGAACATGATGTTGCTACAAGGTTGATGTGAATAGACATCCAAAACTGTTGATGAAGAAGCAAAGTGGTATTTTTTTGGGTTCTCCTTGGTCAGGCTGAGGCATTGAGTATGCTTCAATATGCTTCTGCCCAGTGATGCTGGTATTTGGTCCGTGATATTCTTTGGTTTGAGGTCAGCCCGCGCCCCGTGTTACACGAAACGCGCGTTTCTGTCGCGACATGGTGAACATGAAGCCTAAGCATGTCTTCTTCGTCGGATCAGTGGAGCGGACCCCCGGTCTCTGAAACGAGGAAGAGGGTCGGCTGGAGCGTTCATGGCTCACTTTCGAAGCCGCCCAGGTCAACGAAGCGCAGCGCAACAACGAAGGAGTAGCCGAGAAGGAGCGAACAACACACGTTTACCGTTTGACCAACATTGCACATGCTTTTTGGGCCTGGGCACATAGAACCAGCACATGAGATGCTCGTGAAATGTCAGGCCTGACACCTGCGTTTCGAACACCTTCATTGTCCGAAAAGTTGCTTTTTGTGGTGTGTGTCTGTGTGTTTGGCCGCATCGCCTTTGTTGTATCCTTGTTTCCCAGGTTTGTCGTATGAATGAAGCTCCACATGTTGTGCTGGGCGATCGCTTGCAGACCACAAAGCGTCGCCCTCGCCGTGTCCTTTCGGGTACGTCACGTCCATCAACACTAGAAAATAAACATAGTTATATAACATGACCTGCACACATTGAAGTGCACAAACAGGCCACGCGTTGACCTTGAAGTTTCTACGTTCTTGTTCCCAACAAAGCCTTGCGTTGCTCCCTTACGAAGCTGCTGGTGAGCAGTAAGGTTCGTGTCCAACATCCACTTCGAGATGCAGGAGGTACAATCTCTTCTTTTCGACCTGTCTGCATCGAGCGATGTGGCTTGCAAGTGGCTCCGAGAGAACCCAGCCAGGCGAGAGTTGATCGTCTTCCGCTCGATCGTCTTCCAGCTGGGCGGGTGGTGGAGGGAAGGGTCCCCAAGGGTCCCGCAGGGGGGGCGCGACCAATGAAGGGGGGAGAGTTTGACAGGCGGGAGACCTCTGAAACTTGGCCGTGCCTCGGTGGTCAGGATGTGAGTCATCCTGCTTTTGTTTTGTTCTTTTTTTGGAGGTGGTCATCCTGGACACCACCGAAGACCAGGTGCTACGAAGGCTTTGGATTGGTTGATGCGTCGGGAGCTTTTGTCTCCAACAGGACAAGTGCCGTTGGATGCGGTCTGTGCCAGGCCGGAACTGCATCTGAGCAGCTCATTGATGCTCAGGGAACAACCTTCCAATGCAAACCATGCCCTCCGGGCTACAAGCAATCAGACACATCCTCCACCCAGTGTGAGCCGTGTCCGAGTGGCTCCTTTGCTAGCTCCTCTGGGAGCGCAACATGCAATCTATGTGCGCAAGGCACTTACCAGCCGGATACAGCTCAGACCTCCTGTATCCCATGTAGTGCTTCCCAATCAACAGTTTTACAAGGCGCTACGTCTGCAGCAGACTGCGTTGACTCGTCGACCCCCAACCCTACCGGAAGTGAATCTTTCAGTGATGCAAACAAGCTAGTGGTTGGCACCCTCCTTTTATGGAGTGGCTTGGGTACCCACGTCCTTTAAAGAGTTGCCACGGACTTCCCCTTCGGCCTGTGTGCA